GTGTGTGTGTGTGTGAAACTGGCATATTATTTCGTCGAAACTAACTTAAAAGTTATAATTTTATTGTTAATAGTTTTATAATTTTATCTAGATTAAAAAAATAATTCTAGCTGTTCAAGCATAAAAATTTCTCAAAACTAATTGAGACTAATTCACGCATCTCACTTTGTCTCGCAATATAAATTTTTTTAATATTCATTATTTAAAATTGTAATTCTATATAAATTCTAGGAAAAGTTTTAATAATAATCATTGTTTTTTTCATTTTTTAAATAATTTTTCTAGCCCAGAAAAGGGCACTTGCATATGAAACGTTTGATTTTCAAAAGTTTTATTTGTCATAAAATAAAACAAAAAGAGAAAAATTCTAAATTAATAAATTTTCAAAAAATAAACTGTCAACGTCGTCATATATAAGTTAAAATAAGTTATTTCATTATTTAAATCTATCTTGAAAATTTGCAGTTTTGCTACGTATGATTATAATTGAAATTATCGTAAAAATCATTTCTTTGATACATTGATAATTATATTTGATACATAAAATAAGCTATAGATTTACATATTAATTATATAATTCTGCTCTACAGATCCTGTTCCTGAAGAATAGAATGAAAATTTAAGCTTTTAGAGCCATTGCTTTCGTCGTGCCTGCACCTACCTAAAAATGGGAATAGCCGATGCTATCGATCACCGTGGTTCGATGGTGGTGACTCTGACCTGCATGTAACGAATTCGAAGGCTCGTGCGAGTGTGTCGCGAACATACCGTGAAAAGAACGCACGCGACGATAACGTCAATTGCGCTACGACGACGAGGAATTCACGAAGTGGACGACGGCAATCTACGCGACGTCTATCAATCGCGATTGATCAACGAAAGTAGTCGGTCCATGGTCAAAAGGATGGTATAACAAGGTCAACAATCGCGTTATCATGCGAAACGTGATGATATTTGACGTCACTTTTGATATGTGATCCGTACTCACAAGTCATGAGGTTTGATACACAGTTACCATGAGCGTATCAAGAACGCAGAACGTACTACGTTTTTTTTTTCTTCTTCAAGTTTCAAACTTGATCAAGAAGAAATGACTTGAAGGACATTTTTGTCTCGGAGAAATATGCAAATTGATCAAGTACTGATTAAAACCCGTTTGTATAAGAAATAAATTAAATATGTCAGTAGTCGTAAACTCCATGGAATAAGAAGTAAAAGTATCTATGTTTAACATATAATAACGAGTTAAGATTTAACATTTTAATGAGAATTCTTATCTACCCATCACCGATACGTTCACAGTTATTGTACGATGTCGCAATTTGTTCGTAATTCACGTTCGTGCGTTTTGCTTTACGCTCGCGCAGAGAAGCCGCGTTTATTTGAGACCGACGCGAAAAGGACGGGAGTTAAGCAACGAGTTTTGCCGCGAATAGTTTCTCACGCCTTTAATGCATCTCTCGCCCGACCGACCCGATGATCCCGCAATATCGAAGTCACGACGAGAGGGCTCCGGATGAAAGTGCAACGCGAGAGCGAATGTAACGAAGGGGCACCGGATAAACGCGAATAAAGTAGTGAATCAGCACCAAGTATTGGACTTCATCTATTCTGCGAACTGCAATATTTCCATATGGTTATCATTCGCGATAAACACACTCGACGTTACCGCGACAGAATCGTCCAATTAGCGTGAAAAGTGCTCGTGCAAGCAAAAGCATAACAATTATTTATATGCAACAGTTTATTTACGCTTTAATCCAGAAGCGGAATGAAACATTTTATCTATTCTATAATAATCCTCTAAATTATTTAATTTTCTTTTTAATAAAAGAAAAACAATAATAATAAAAAAAAAATAAATATAACGTATGAGTTAGAAATACAAGTATAGAAGTATGAAGAAAATTTATTTATAAGGCTTGTACAGTTAAAAATTTAAACATTTATCTCAGCTATGCAAGACTGTCTGAGCAGGCAATAATGAAGACGTCTCGCGAGAGATTATCGTATTAAAGAAAAATTGCAATACGCATCAAATGCAAAAGGTGCATGGGCGGACGCAATGAATAACCGTGATCTGTCTTGAGCAGCATGTTTGTTCGACCTTGCGAGGCTTCCCGTTCTAATTATAATCTCCCAAACACGGACAGATTTAGCAGCTAAGTAACGTCCGCCTTGGCATTGCCGATTGTCAAAATGCAAATACGCATCTCGGACATTCATTCAAAAGCCTGAGGCCGATTCACGGAAATGACGCGTGTTTTTTATCATTTTGACATGTGAAACAGATGCAAATCTGCATCGAATAAAAAAATTTTGTCGAATGGAAAGCCAATTATCTTTTGCTATGACGTATATCAAAGCGAAAGATATATAATAATAAATAATAAAATATAAGAAAATTTAGGAAAATTTTAAATACAGGAAATTTTAATAATGTTGCATCCAAATATTAATTATAATATTCCAAGTAATACGAATTCAGTTATTAATTATTTTTTAAAATATGAGAAATATTAATGTTAAGTAGCTTATCATGAACAAAATACGCGTTTAATCAACGTAAATACACGTTTGAAGAGACACAGAGCTGATAATAT